AGTGTAGGGGGCAGGCTTGCAGGGTATACCCTTTGGTTGGTTGATGATGCATGGAGGGGATTATAACCATGGCAATAAAACGATATATGATAGAATGAATGTACTAATGTTCTCCCATGTAAACTATCATATAATTCACAATAAAACATTAAAATCTTCAACCATTTCAAGAGGTAGCACATGGTCAAGAGTCAATGGTACTGAAGGAAGAAATCCAAAGTGCACTGAAGGCGATGACAAAGAACAAGGCTCTGGAATACTGAAAAAGAAAGTTGAATTGACACATGTTCAGAGCAGTAGTAATCAGACAAGAGTAGTAGTGGCCATAGATAAATGACTCATACAAGCTTATCAATTGTACTTGACAAATGAGCAAAATCAGTTCAATGAAGAAAGGATAGTATTCGATAAATGGTGCTGAAACAACAGGATAGTCATATGCAACAACAATAAAAAAACGAATCTACACTCAGGCCATAAGTAACATTTCACAAAAACTAACTCAATGGATTGTAGACCTAAATGTAAAACATATAACTATAAAATTTTAGAGAATAGCATGGGAGAAAATCTAGATGACTGTGTTTACGAATGAGTTTTTAGCTATAAGCACAAAAACATGATCCATTAAAAAAAAAAAAGTGGTAGCTTGGACTTTATTAAAGTTTAAAACTTATGGTCTAGGAAAGACACACTAAGAGAATGAAAAGTCAAGCTGCAGAGGGAGAAAATATTTTGCAACACTCTGTTGCAATGTCCACACAGAACTCACCATATATTCACGATTATGGAGTTGATTAGGGAAGTTAAAAGGATGCAATTCAGGATCAGAAACAACTCACGATATAGCAGTTCTCTGGTGAGGAGTACCTCCTCTGAGCCATACCATAGACAGACCTCTCTCTGTGATCCTCAACCACATGACCCAAAGGCTTCATTACTGCTCTGGCAATCATTATAACGTCTTTAAGCTCTGCTGATACAGGCCAAGGGCACCCAATTCTACAAGTCAGCCTCCTGCCAAAGGCAGTTTTGTTAGTTTCATGAGCTGGAAGCCCATTGCTCCATCTCTCTATGCCACTGCCACTTCTCCATACAGGAACACCCTATTTCCATGCCCTACTGTGGTGCTGTAGGAAAAGCACTGGACTGCTAACCCCTAAGGTCAGCAGTTCAAACCCACCAACCCCTCCTTGGAAATCCTGTACAGGGTTGCTATGAGTCAGAACTGACTTGATAGCATTTAACAACCACCCAATCATTTAGTGGAAATTACAAAAGCCATGGTAAAAGAGCTGTAATCCACAAAGTATTACATATTTTCTCTATAGGATAAGCACTGGAATGTAAACCAGAAGGTTGGCGAATGGAGCCCACCAGTGATCTGAGGGAGAGGTTTCTGCTCTGGTAATGATTTACTCAGTCTCAGAAACATTCTGTACGGCCGCTATGAATCATATCAACTTGTCAGCACTTCACATTTTAAATAGTGCTGTGTTTTTTATTTTAAATTCCATTGTTTATTGCTGGTATATAGAAAAACAACTGGCTTTTGTTTATTAATCCTGTATTTCACAAGCTTGCAACAATCGCTTTTTAGTTTCAGGAGTTTTTTTTGTTAATATTTTGAGATTTACCTACCTAGACAATTAAATCATCTACAATCAGTTTTACTTTTTGCCTTCCCAATCTGTATTTAATTTCCTTGTCTTTTCTCATTCTATTAGGTAGGACTGGTTGTTGTTGTCAGGTGCCATCGAGTCGGAACCGACTCAGAGCGACCCCATGCACAGCAGAACGAAACAATGCTCGATCCTGGGCCAACCTCACTACCGCTGCCACACTTGAGTCCATCAATGATGCCACCTGGCTGATCCATCTCATTGGGGGTCTTCC